ATTGAAACATTTTCTTAGACTTGGACATTGCAACATTTTCTTAGACTTGGACATTGAAACAGTTTCTTAGACTTGGACATTGAAACAGTTTCTTAGACTTGGACATTGAAACAGTTTCTTAGACTTGGACATTGAAACATTTTCTTAGACTTGGACATTGAAACAGTTTCTTAGACTTGGACATTGAAACATTTTCTTAGACTTGGACATTGAAACATTTTCTTAGACTTGGACATTGAAACATTTTCTTGGACTTGGACATATCCTGTGTTTTCTATTGCCTGGTACTGTAATCTGTGAACGTCAGTTAGTCACAGTGAATTCATTCATTTTGCCATGTAAGAATAAACCCGACTTCTAACTGGTGAAACTGTAACCAGAACGTTGGTTGAGTCCACATGTCTGCCCGTAGACAAACTGTGGCTTCTCATGTTCTACGGCAGTCAATTGCTGACTTGTCGTACCGTCGAAACCATTTTGTGGGGCTTTGATTGATGACCGTGCCCGAGAAACATCTCCAGCTATGTTCTTGGATGCCTGCGTCTGGCTGGTTGTGTTCGCTGATCGTTGATGGAAGCGTCTTGACTGTGGCATACTTGTATGGGTCGCATCTTCGTGTGATTAGTCAGGTGTTTCTCACGGTGTGTGAATGTGTGTGTGTGTGAGTGTGTGTGTGTGAGTGTGTGTGTGTGTGTGTGTGAGTGAGTCAGCATGGCTTTAATGAGTAAGCGACGTTTTTCTTCACCCTGAGACTTACATGAGTTACATAGTGCACAAGGGCACTAGCACCTGCTGGCTTACGCTCCTGGACCCCACTCCTACACCAACTAAAAAAAATAGTTATGTATGTACATATAAATCATTTTAGAGGTTGGGCTTGCGGTCTCGCGCTCCTTCCATCTACTATCAATCGTTTAAGGAAATAATGTTTCCCTCTCAATCACGAATACAAGTTGTCTTCGAAAGTATTTGTTAACACATGTCATTTATTTCAAACACAATTATGTATTTGTCACTCTGCATTGTTGTTATTATTATTTTTATTATACATCATCTACCAAGTGCCGAGTGGTCTACAAAATCTAGGTCTAGCCCTATATGCCCAATACGCCTAAAGGCCTGGAAAAGGGTCCCTTACTTTACTTTATTCTTCTTCTTATTTTTATTATTATTACTTCTATTATTATTATTACTATAAATATAATGAAGTTTCCAAAGGCCTCTTCCCCCTCCCCCCCCCTTTCTTCTCCCACCCCACCCCCTTCCCCTTTCCACTCTCTCCCCGCCCAGAAAATATATTTTAAAAAATGGGTCGGGTTTCTGTGATAGAGAAGAAATTTGCATGTAAAACTTTGGGAACCCTCGGCGTTGTCTCAGTTAATGAATGAGTGACAAGTAACCAAGTGTAGGTGGGATTAGAGATCTCGTAGCACAGCAGTGTAGAATTTGCTGAAACAAAATCGGTTTCAGTCCATCTAGCCAGTGTTAATCTCAGCTCTTCATTTTTGACATCGCAGTAAATAGAACCTTTCACAGTCAGTGTGTTAATGCACTGTTATATATTGGTTTACAAATGTGGATAATAGAGGACACATTACACAACCAAAATAATTGCATAGTGTGCTGGAACTAGTCAGCATAAGTTTTATCATTAGTATTTCACAGACACGAAGATTTGATTGAAGGAGCATTAGTGTATTATTTATTGGAACTTATATCTGTTAAGTTTATTAGAATCCGTTCAAGATGTCGTGCCCCACTTTAAAAATGTGTAACTCGGTAACCGTTTGGTGTCAGATGTTGTTGAATCTTGACATAAAACCTGTTAAAAATCATGTCCTTGTTAGAATGTTTCTTTCCTAATGTAAAAAAAAAAAACCCATAGTTTCCAGTTTGTCTTATTTGAAATATACGAAGAAAAACAAAACAGACACCCAGTCGAAGCATACAGTCAACGTGCTTACAGCTGAATAAGGAACTTTTCAAAAATCAAATTGTCCGAGTCCCATAGGAGTTTCAGTTTTGGATGGTCATCTCCAGTATTAGTCTCCTGTGAGTTGAGGATGTTTCATCGTATGCAGGATGTGCTATCGAAATAAACACCAGGCATCGATATAGATGTGAACTGAGTTTTTCAACAATCTCCTCGCGTGTTAAATTACTGTATATTCCATTTCTTTAAAAGGTAAACATATTATTAGTCAAAAAAGATCAAAGAAATTCACCGCTTAAACCTCTGGAGTTTAAAATTATAAAGTCTGGCGATTAAGAGCCAGACAGACAGACAACTAGTTAAACAAGACACATTAAACAAGATATTTGCGTATCCTTCAGGATGTTGCAAAGCCAAGTTTATATTTGTTTAAAGTCTGTTTTTGATTTCACTAGACAGTTTTACATTCAGTAGTTTGCCATTGCCTGTGAACGATCGTGTCTCGATACCTCCGTCTAAACCAAGGCTAAACAGTCTGCTGCCAAATAGCACGAAGCTGGGATCTAA